CACAAGAATGCCACAAAATGCCCTTTAGTCTCCTATTAATTTGGGCCTGCTTGTACTGAACGAACTGACATTCCGTGTAAACAAACATTTATGTGTGTCGGCAGTGGCTATGTAGACCTTTCTGTATTGCAATTATCTTATTTCGCCGAAAAGCCTCTATACGGCTAAGTGTCACCGATTCCAGCATTTTTTCCCACCAATTTCTTTCTTCTGTCTGTCGATATTTATTTGATAAATCTTCATGACAATAAACGCAAATCTTCCCATTCGTCTGAATAGTGCAAGCAAAATGTGGAAGAATGCATTTACTCAACCAAATTCGCCAGATCATGCAGTCAACAACCAAGGGTATCCAGCACCGGACATTTACCACGAGATCAGCAACCTGCCATGGTTAATAGCCGGCGCAACTTTAGCTGTCGCAGACAGTACTCGCATGGAAATGAAGTCGGCCTTAGTAGGTCAGGTTTTGCCGATTTTGTAAACTTTCTTATATTTTTATAAGATTTTGAGCATAAACTTTGAGCCTGATGACAGTGGTGCCGAGTTGTATATGTTTTGGTGTGAGCACAGGGCCCTTTAGGGTCAAGAGGCTCTCTCGTTTCCCTTTGGTGCTTGATTTTGACATTTCTTCGAGAATTTGGTCCTGTAAAACGGGCTGGTTGACGAACTACGTAAATTGGCATCTACACCAAAATCATGGAACTTCACCTTAGGACCCGACACATTTATTTCTGAAATTATCATGTTAATAAAAAAGAACAACGCAATAGTTTTGCTTTCAAGGCTTTGTGACGTTGAGTAATTTCATTCCTACGTCCATCTGTCCTGTCAAATGTTTCCGCTCCTCAAAAAGTTGTTGTAGTTTCAGCAAGTCAACAGTTATTTACTTAATAATTGAAAGGGCGTTAGACTGTGTTGGTTTACTTTCTGACACCGTTGTAACCAAAATGCCGAGGCTGTCTTTTTGGGAAGGGTACGCTCACAAACTTTGATTCTTCATTTTGTTTCAAAAACTGGCGCACAAACTGAGCTTATCTTCCTCCAGACATGGCAACGTTTTGTATGATTCCTACAAAATACTTACTAGGATATTAACTTTTATTTGGCCATCAATGATTTGTAAATGCTTGCACTTTCTGCAGTCATAGAACACCAAACGCAAACTTTGGTCAATTAATAGTTCCGTTTTTATAACAAATGCTTTCTGGTTCCGTGAAGTTGATGATCACTCATTGAAGAGAGGTCTTTGGCGATATTAGTCAGTTCGGATTGAAATATTGCCGAATAAAGTCCGAAAAAGGTGCGTCGGCAACCCAATCGTAGATCGTTATAGATTCAAACGTTTCCCCAAACCTTCCGTCGGCCTTGACTGACTGCTTAATTCTAGCGACTCAGGAGTGAATACTTTAATGCCGTTTCAAGTATATGTAGCAAGGGCACGAAAATCGAGGGCAGTCTTGTCCATTAGATCAGGCACGATTCGAGCTCACATTTAATAAATGTTCCTGCTGGAGCCTTACAGATTGCTGCAGCCAACTGGGACTACAGTGTTCTGTCACTCTTATTAATATGTACACCTGACTCACCTAATACTTGTAATTCTTCCACTTAGGGCGCGCAGACAGCCTACACGTCTGTTGGCTTGCCTACCCCACAATAAACTTCTACCGCAAAAACCCCCCCAACAACAGGACGCATAATCCTACCAAAAATAGCCCAAAATTCCCGCTTAGTCTTCCTATGACTTGGACGTTCATCAATGGCCAAATAAAAAAACCTCACCACATAGAACTTGCAGTGAAAGGTTACTTACCTTGCTTTTAAGCTGCCATAACAACGCCAAATGAACATAC